GGAATTGTATAAATAATAATTGTGCATTTAATTAATTTCTAATTGTTAAAATTAATTTTACAAAATCTATTTCATCAATGCTAATTTTAGTATATTTATATGCAGCTCTTCTAAATTAGTTATAATTTTAATTAATAGTAAATTATTAGCCTTTGTGTTATAATTTCAATATACAGTGTATTGTAAAATGAATTCATTAATGATTTAACGCAAGAATGCACTCATCAGAACATATTAAAAAGAGTCTCTCTCTCTCTCTCTCTCTCTCTCTAACATTGAAAAATGATTTTATTTATTCGCATATAATGTAAGCCTTATATAATGTATTCTTTATACAAGACGTGATGCAAACTTGTATTTGTTGTGCGGAGAGAGAGAATTGAGTACTCGTTGTGCCACTCTTTGGCCTCATGTCTGACCTTCAATTCTGAGGGCAGTCCTCACTAAACACAGGCCTCACTCTGTGCTTACATTTATTGCACACAATATGTTTGTAAAGCGATTTTACTTTCACTAAAGAGTGGCAAACCATCAAAAGACTATTTTAAGTCTTCTTCTAACTCACTGCCAGTTTCTAACAAAATTCAACATTAAATTGTGGTTTATATGATTGAACTGACCTCTCGTCACCTCTACCTTATGGGCAACATTATAAGAATCTATGTTAAATCTATGCGTTTATGCATTCTCTATAAGTCATATTAATTCTATAGATAATACTGCAGTATTTTAATTAATTATAATGTATTATAAAATGCTTTTATAAATTGGAGTTAAATTTTTAATTTTATTGAAAGTATTGTTTTATTTGCCAACCATTTCGACCATATATTGATATTATTTGCACACTTAAAGTCATTGTATTTATTTCATGATTAAAACATGTCAAATATATTATACGATATTATATTCAGCGCTAAATATATCACTGCATTTGATATATTTTATGTTTTCACTCATTTTTGCACACATTTATTCATACGAGCGTTGGATTCTGTGCTGAAATGAGAGAAAACATTTCCGATATATCAAACGTTTGGTGTTTTTATAATACAAATACTAGAAATATAGGAAAACAAATAATTGACAAATGAATGCCGAGAACCACACAAATGATTGTATGAATTGTTATTTTCTAAACTATAATATGATATGATTTGCAGACGCGTGCGGACTGTCAGACATGGCCCACATCGAGAGTCTTCAGGAGAAGAGTCAGTGCGCTCTCGAGGAGTACTGTCGGACACAATACCCGAACCAACCGACGAGATTCGGTAAACTCTTGCTTCGGTTACCATCGCTGCGAACAGTGAGCTCTCAAGTGATCGAACAGTTGTTTTTCGTCCGATTGGTTGGAAAGACACCCATCGAGACGTTAATTAGGGATATGTTGCTCAGCGGCTCATCATTTAATTGGCCGTATATGCCATTACAATGAGATTATATAATAAATATATTAATAAATATATACATACATGTAATATATTATGTAATTATAATATAGTATAATATTTGTACCCTAATCTCCGGTGTATAAGTCGCACAATATTGCGAATGCGATTAGTAATTAAACATATATTCAAACATGAGTGTAATTGGCTGTGTATTTATACACATCAATGATTAGCCTATACCTTGAATTATCTGATTTAATGAAATGGAATCTTTATTTACAAATAACTATTATACATTAATTCGAACTAGCCCATATTTCTCCTTTTTATAAGCTGCGGCCTATACATCCGAAATTAGGGTAATTTATGTGTAATTAATTACGTAAAAGGTGTCCATTAATGTTAACACTTGTGCTTAAGTTATTGAGATCAGGGATTGGATAGCAATAAATGTAATCATAAACGAGTGAATTTGTAGGACATCTCAGACCCGATGGTCACTAAATTAGGCAAAAGTGTGGACAGTGTTTGGGACCCAAATAAAACGGACACAGTAATAATGCAATAATTTAATTATTTTTTCACATATTTTATATGAGAATTAAGTACTAATTTTAAGCTTAATTTCTTCGAGAAGATTATATCTGCAATATTTATGAATTGTGTAAATATTTAATAAAATTCTAAGTCTCTCCACAAAACATATAATGTCCGATGGCTTACAATTGCCGTCTGATTAGGTGTTAATAATAAATAAACCAATGAGTGATCAAAACACTCGTATAATTCCGTTAAAATTATATTAATAAAAATAATAAATGTATTTAAACATGATTTTAATTCATTCTAGCCATTAAAACAAATATCATTGACATTTTTATACAACTATGTAAATGTATTGTTAATTGCATGTAAAATATATATAAAGTATATACATGTATAATAATAACACGTTGTGTCAAAACGATTCCTCAATTTGTGACAATCGGACAGAACTTTAAAGTCCGGAATTTACTAATCATTTAAACAACAAAATATGTATTTATGTAATAAACAAATCTCTATTGATTAGTGCAAACTAATGGGCAGTGCATTAATGTTGCAAATATATAAGCCATTAGAGTTTGGTTTTGTGGTTCACTTAATCGCCAAAAGTGGATCAGTGGTCACTGAATCAATAAATCACATCCAGTTGTCCCTTGTTTTTGTATTTGTGATCCTTTTCTCTTCCCCTCCAATCATAGTATTTATGTGACAAATAAAATATATGCCAATTTCAGTCATACTCTCAGTTATTACTTGTCTTCCTTTCTATTCATACTTTCAATTCCTTAAATGCAATTAAAATATAATACATAAATAATTAATACAATTAATTATAATAATAAGGATTTCAAATTAAGTGTAATAATGAGTTTATTAGATAATAGCATATCATTTATTCTCAGGAATCGCGCAAACATTACACAGAATTGTATGCTTTTAATAGGAATTTGTCCCCAAATCCATAAAAAGCATTAAAAAGAGTAAATGAGTTGTCGTTGAAAAAGCATTGTTTGGGTCGATGTCTGTGAAAGAGTGGTCGGGAGGAAAGATAGTCATCCGGTTTGTGCGAAACCGGAAACGTAATGCTGTGCCGAGTATTTCCTAAATTGTATGGACGGCTAATTTGGAGCGCATTTTGTTTCATTGGTTTCATTGGTTTCTCTGCATTCGTGACCACAAATAAATCATAAGTTTGGGGTCAGAGTTGGCATATATTGCCAGCAATGAAAGAATTCAAGAATAAGTGTTTGTCTGTCTATAAGAAGCACATCATGTGTGATATGTTGAGTGCAAGTGTTGGCTAACCCGTCGCCCAAAGGTTAGAGACCTCGAAGTTTAATCTCATAGCAGAGGGACTCCTTTGGGCATAAAATTTATTTCTTTTTTTGGTCACAAAAGCATTACAAAAGTATTGAATTGCCGGTCCTATTGTGTTGGACCACATCTCAAACCCTGTAATAGTTGTTATGCAGTCTATACTATAACTCTCCAAACACATGGTTTAGCCCATACAGTGTGTAACCCATACTGTATTGCATTACAAACTCTCCAAAAAATGTTCACTAAATGAAAGAACGAGGCTTTCGATTGTGTGGGAAGTATTGAAAAGCATATAATGCCGCGAATGGGAGCTCTTCTCTCTCATATCAACGATGGTCTGCTCTCTCCCATCAGTTCAATGTGTTTTACTAACTCATGAAAAGCATCAATAATGGACAAAACATAAGCCATAGGCGTTATAAACACATTAAACACTTTACAATTTATATATCGTATAATTATATAAACTCTTTTCTCAATTCAATTACTGATTGCAAGCATTGAATTTATGGCAAAAACACTGCATTTTAAAGAATTTTAGTGTATTATTAGAACAGAACTTTGTCCTAATTATTATCTAATTTCTAGAATGTTAATAAATAATATTGAAGATATCAAATATGGTTGTTATATGAAAACCATTATCAGTTAGTGAAAGTACAATACTGTATAATAAATTATAAATTTTATATAAATTTACTAAATTAAAAATGTATGTAAATATATATAATAATAAATGTTTTAAAGTAATAAAGAATTGAAAATATAATGAATTATTATAAATGATAAATGTATTTACAATGTATTTGATAACTTTCTTTAGAGATGGATATGATATGCATTTGAATGAAAATAACTTACTCTATAAACTAATATTCTATTCGTTAGTTCATTATCTCATTATTTGATTTGTGGTAATGTATTGACACATCTTTCATGTCATGACATTTCTTCATCTTCTATTCAAAAGCAGTGATTTTTATCAAATATTATATTATATTTGAGAGGAATTGTGAGAAGCGTTCTGTCAGTACAATAGGGTAAGGGCTGTGACAGTGCTGTTGGAGTTGTAGTGCAAACACTAAATTTCATTTCAATTGAATTCTATTATGAGATTCTGGAGAACATGTGATGACTTATAATGTTTGTGGAAAATATAAAGAGAGAAAACCACTGGAAAAAAGTAACCCAATTATCAATTCATGGATCGACTAAATCCTGCACTCAATGAGAAGTCTTGTCAAGATTTGAATGTCAGTCAGTTGTTGGCAAAAAACACCCGAAACTTGACTTTTTATGAACACAGAGACCCGTTGTTTGCAAATCACATATTCTCTGCTCTTAACATGGGTTGTGTTGTGTGAGGTGTTGACCACTAAAGCCATTATTATTAGCGAATGCACTGCCAGTGCTATAAACTTGTTATATAATACACCCAATTCTCCCCAACGAAACCAAATACTCAATTCTGTGTCTATCTGTGCTCTCTGTGTTCCCAAAGGCATATCGTGTTACAAACCAAACGGACAATTGACAGTTAGGGGCAGACGTGACGGCACTCTCCAGCCATTCAAGGCATATATGAGACAACATTTGCCACATTTAGACATATTCTATAGTCATATAACTATAACTCAGTTATATTGCATTGTATTGTATTATGTATTGTGTGTATCATCTCTAACACCACAACATCACTACTCCAGAGCGACAACTCTAACCACTCGAGCACTTGACTCAACCCTAAGACTTACTATTATTATTATATAAACCAAATATCGATCCCATCTATGCATTTGAGATGTACTGTACAGTAGTGTTGGTGTTGTAGTACTTCGGGTGTTATTACTAGTTTTATAATGTGATTATTTGATCGATGATAAGTAGTTTTGCATTTCATGAAAATGCATTCATTTATATCCTAACGTCAAATAAACAAATCATTCACTTTTGCCTCAATTCTTAACAATTATTTTCTCTCAATCTTTGCCACAAAAACTTATAACTTATGCCACAAACTATTGCCCAAACACTACAACTGTATCTTTTCTCAAGCATCCAATACATACAATACATCCAATCTATTCTTTATAATTGATATTTATTTATATATCTTTAATAAATTATTAATAATAATTATTGAATATACAGTATACTTATGATTATAATTAAAACCCATTCGTGAATTGAACAAAAAGACAATATTTAATGCAATGAATAATTTATTTAAAGAATATTCTATTCAATGCATTCGTGTTATATAAGGAAATGAACATAAAGTATCATTAAATGATTTTATGAGTTATAAACATGGTTAAACTACAGTATTTTTAACTATTAACTATTTTAACTGATAAAACAACGTTTTGCACTAATAACTCAATGAATTAGCAAATATTTTTAAAAAGATCAAACAATGCAATGGAATAGATGTAGTGTAAAAGAAATCACATTAATGTTACTACAGAATGACATTTTATTTGTGATTATATGTTTTAATATAATTAATTCTATTGAAAATTATTTAAAATTTACCATTTTTATTATCATTTAATATCAAATGTATAATACAACAAATTAAATTCACGTTTAAATTTACAATTTTGATTAAAATGTTAGGTTTGTAAATGTCAAATTAATTGTTACTTGTTTATTTTTAACATGGTTGACTATTAGTTTATCATTTAAATATACAGAATCATTACTAATTTTTAATTTTTTAAAATTCAATTTTGATATTAAAAAGTTTTATTATTTTAAGTTTACTTTTGGCTTTTCTACTCCAACCCTTTAATAGGCTCTATTAAATCGAGGATTCACTGCTTTATTCTAATTTATAATACATTTAATTATTAGTTCTAATTTATATTATTCTTTTATTATGTTACATAAATAATGAGGCAATTAATCTTATAAACCTCAATTTTCATATTGAATTGAGGTTACAAATTATGATATAAAAGAAACTATCTAATTGTATATTCTTAAATATCAATTAATTAATTCAATAAAAACTTTATTCAAATAGTGCTTAGTTTTTGTTATTTGGGTTTAAATGTTAAATATATTCAAAACTATTTGCCACAAATTTACTAATAAAATAAGTTAATTTATTGTGAATATATGACCACATATTAGTATCCATACATTTAAATCACGTTCTTTCGAAGAACAATAATCATCGACATGATTAATACTTGTAAATGAGCATGGCCATTTTCTCCTATCATTGTCCGCATCATTCATCTTACAATCAACGCAAAACATTAACACAAAATCAAACATAATGTATATTACAATGAATACACATATGCATACAATTTGCACTTTTAATTCAATTACATTTGGTTATATAATTCTTAAATCTAATATCAAATCATAAAAAGTTATTAAAAATTTAAATCATTGATAAAATTTCCAGCAAAAAGCGAGGGTTTCATAAAATGCATGACATTTGGTAACAGTATATATGAAGAGTAGGAGCAGTGATGTAATGATGAGTTCAGGCAAAAGGAAACAACAATTTGAAGACAAATCGGACGAAGATTTGAATAAAAGGTCCAAAACTTTATTCAATGGTATTATCAATCATACCATCAATTGTCACAACAAATGACTGTTTAATACACTTTGCATTTGATTACTCCCGAAGACAAGCCATCGTTCAGTGATGTCCACAAAGCGTACGACTATTTGCGGTCATTATTCCCGACCGAAAAGTTTGGCCAAAGGATACCAACCATTGTTTGGAGACATCAATTGTATCCTCTCTTCCACAACAAGACACTCATTGATCGCCAATTGGTTTGACATTTTAAACACACCATTCATTGTGTCACTCATTATCTGTTAATCTCTTATCGCATGTGTTGTAATCGCAGAATGCGTGGTCCGAATCGGCTTACATACGGCTCTTCAGATTGGGATCAACTATCGATGATAACGAAGTGGTCATTATATTGATGTCCGACTTTCAGGACTACGTCCATAAGTTTGTCCCCAAAACTATTATAACCGGTATTTTTGGTCTCCATTTATATGTTATTCATATTTAATGCGATATTTTTGTCGGTATTTAAGAGAGATTTTTGAAGAAAGTACTGACGGTCTTCAGCAGCTGTGTTTATAGCAGCCTACACAACTTCTTACTCATGTCAAAGTTGCTGTTGTTGTAGTCGCTTGACTAGGCATGCCCTGATGACCGGGCTGTGGCTTTAGGCCCGGTGAAAGACGAGTCTGTGCCAAACGCCGGCGAATTCGCCAAAAGTTTTGATTTCGGCAAAAAGTTTTTGCTTTCAATTATCAAGAAATGTAAATATAAAGAGATTTTGGGTTCGGAACTAATGAAGAAACGACTTCCCAAAGACATGAAGTTTAGTTTGGAGTATCATATCTACGATCTCATCGGCTCTCAAGTCATTCACACGTAAACCAATGCATTGAATCAATTCTTATACAAAAACATAACATTTTGTGTTTTATTATCTTTAGAGTCGAGACTCCAAACGACACACTCCTCAGAATGACCTGAAAACTAATTTACCATAAGATATCATCAATTTATAAATTCCGGGCATTTATTTATATTAATACAATGAATTTAAGACTTAATTCAAGTCTAATGTTTTTATATAAAATTTTCAATTATTGTTAAGTTTAATGAATTGAATTCATTTCTATACAACTGAAAGCAAATGAAATTAGTTTTGATTTAATTTAGTTTACAATTCTGTGTTGGCATTGGTTTGTGGGACCGGAAGGGGTAATCGTTTGCGTTTAGGCTTTGGTCTCTTCTCTCCGGAATGCATTCTCATATGACTCTCGAGCTCTTGTTTTTCGCAGAAACTCTTATTTTCACATAAAAGGCATTTAAATGGAAGTAAACCCAAATGTTTGCGTCGAATGTGCTGTTAATTAACAATCAATTCATTAACTCATTAATTTGTAAACTCTATTTGAGACTCACTTTTAACATATTTGGATACGAAAAGAATTTTTGGTCACAATGTGTACACTAAATGAGATGATCAGACAATTTCATTACTGTATTAAAGCACTCAATGGACACATACTTGATGTCTGCGCTGTCCGTTGTGGTGATCCAAATGCAACCGTAAGTTTGATCGACATCTGAAGGTGCGGTCGCAGAGGTTGCACGAGAAGGGCCTGAGCTCTGTGTGCACTATCCTATGCTGATTGAGTTGTGCGATCTGTCATTGCATTGCATTTTCGTTTAATCATTTCTGTCATCAATTTATAACACATTTTCAAATACCTGTCGAAATGTTTTGCCACAAGTTTCGCAAACGAATGGTTTTTCTCCTAAAAATTTTTTTTGACGATTATTTAAGACAATTGCTAAATAAAAATGTGTAATACAATTGCATACCTGTATGTATGCGTTGATGTGCCGTATAATGTGTTTTGCTGTGACATATCAGACCACAAGCACTACATTTTAGTCTTACGTCAATACTATTCTCTTCTCCCTTATGTATCCGTCGGTGCCTTTCGAGAGATGCCATATGTTTGTAGACTTTTCCACAGAACTCGCATTGTCTGCAATTAAACGCTAAGTTTGTAAAAAGTGGTGCAAAAAACGAAAGGGGAGAGAGAATAGTATTGACGTAAGACTAAAATGTAGTGCTTGTGGTCATATTTATTATGCTTTTGTGGATCAGATGGCGTACTCTTCTTCGCAACCATAAGAAGACACACTTAAGTGATAATCCATTTACGTGTCCTGTTTGTGAGACCTGGTTCTATCTGTCTTATGATACTTCTGATGAGCCCTCAACTGATGAATTGTGACATATTTTTTATCGCATTCATTGCATTCATAACTCTTGTTTGAGTTGTCGTGAGATTTGAGTACATGTTGTTGTACTGAAAACTTGGAAGACATCCGAAGACCACAAACAGGACACGTAAATGGATTATCACTTAAGTGTGTCTTCTTATGGTTGCGAAGAAGAGTACGCCATCTGATCCACAAAAGCATAATAAATAAACATAATATTTAAGGGTATGTTTGATCAATAAGTGTTGTGATCGCGATTGCAATACCTGTATGTCTTACCACATATGAGACACTTATAGGGCCGGTGGTTGTCGTGAACCTTCATGTGTTCCTTAAGATATGTTTTCTTGAATTGTTTGTCACAAACGGGACAATTGGTTTGCAAGAGACGACTCGGAGGTATTTTTCGACCATTTTTATCGATTCCACTCTTTTTGGGCAATAGTTTGTCATTTGTTTGATTGGCTGTCGAGTTGTCATCGGATGGCAAACAGTTGTTTCGTGTCTTCTTATCCTTCTTAAGCGTGGATTTGATGGGTTTAACGCTTTGATTGGTGTTGTCATCAGTGGTGACAGTCATCTGATTGTGCGAAGAGTTGGCGACACTGATGGGCAGGACGTGGATGTCGTGCGGATCCGATTGAACTTCGATTTGCATAACTGTCTGTTGCAAGTGATAAGTGGAGGAATCGTCACAATTCTTGACCAACAAATAGCCGGGAATTAGAAGTGAATTAAAAGTCGGATCCAATTGATTGTCATTCGACGAGACCTGCAATTGGATTGCAATACTCGTCTGGCAATCGCTTTCCGAGCCATCGATGGCCAAAGTCTTGTCGGCAGTCATCGGATCCAATGGATTGGCCAAATATGTTTTCTTGAATTGTTTGTCACAAACGGGACAATTGGTTTGCAAGAGACGACTCGGAGGTATTTTTCGACCATTTTTATCGATTCCACTCTTTTTGGGCAATAGTTTGTCATTTGTTTGATTGGCTGTCGAGTTGTCATCGGATGGCAAACAGTTGTTTCGTGTCTTCTTATCCTTCTTAAGCGTGGATTTGATGGGTTTAACGCTTTGATTGGTGTTGTCATCAGTGGTGACAGTCATGTGATTGTGCGAAGAGTTGGCGACACTAATGGGCAGGACGTGGATGTCGTGCGGATCCGATTGAACCTCGATTTGCATAACTGTCTGTTGCAAGTGATAAGTGGAGGAATCGTCACAATTCTTGACCAACAAATAGCCGGGAATTAGAAGTGAATTAAAGGTCGGATCCAATTGATTGTCATTCGACGAGACCTGCAATTGGATTGCAATACTCGTCTGGCAATCGCTTTCCGAGCCATCGATGGCCAAAGTCTTGTCGGCAGTCATCGGATCCAATGGATTGGCCAAGTCGGATCCAATTGATTGTCATTCGACGAGACCTGCAATTGGATTGCAATACTCGTCTGGCAATCGCTTTCCGAGCCATCGATGGCCAAAGTCTTGTCGGCAGTCATCGGATCCAATGGATTGGCCATCGATTCAATTCAAACAAATATTTTCAAAGTATTGACAGCATATGTGTTGAGCACTCAATGCAATGCACTTCACATAAAACACCGCCAAAAGACATATATTTTGGGCATTAATTGTTGGACACATTATTTCATTGATTGACACAATTAAATGAAACACATTTTAAAAACACTCTTAGTTTATATCCTTTACTTTAATTTTGTCGTTAATTAACCATAAATTGAAACTTTAAATCCTATTTTAAGCTTATTTTATCAACTTAATAAAATTATTTTAAATCTTGTTAATTTGTTGTAAATATTTTGTTAATAATTTTCATAAATAAAAGTTAAATAATAAATACAAAATATGATTAAATCGTTGGTAAATCCCAATCAAACTGATGTTAAGTTAGAAAATGTTACGTGTATTCGTCTAAAATGCCATTCATATGCCATAATAGGCAAGTGTTGGGCATTTATACGCCTTTTGGCGGCAGTTTATTATACGTACGGATGGTTTGAGAATTCTTGCATACAATTCATCCGACATTTATTCCCAACACAATGTATTGCAGATAAACTCCGCCCACAAAAACACTATCCCTTTAACAGGTATTTATGAAGTTTTGTCAATTTGAATGGTATATTTAAATTAATAGTCAACTAATTGTGTCCACTCATCCAATATATTCTTATAATTAAATTTAAATACCAATAGTTTGAGTCAATTGTTAACTAAAATCAGTTACTATTATACTTTTACAACTTATAATCCCTTAATAATGTTATATAACTTATATTAAAGCGAATCTCTTATATTCATGGGGTATTAAAATACTTTAATATTTGATACAATTAAACATCTTTTGAATGATATTTAATTATAATTTATAAAACATACAAAACAATTATAAAAATATATAAAAACACAATTTTCAATTTACATAACTCGTGATTCAAACAACTTGTGAACACATAATTGGCAATTATTTTTGGCATATTTTTAAGTAGAATTACTTTTAAGTATAATATTTAAAGTATTTAATAGCAGAATATATTTTCTTTTGAGAATCGATTCAATACTTGTTGTGATTTAAGGCTTTCAGAAGACTATTGTGATTGATATTAAGCTCAAGCAGAAAATGTTTTGACAAATGAACCCATTCTATGAAAGCCGTTAATTACCTGAAAAATAAAACAATTGCTTCATTTGTGGCTTTAAAATGCAATAATAGTTTAATTGTCAAATGAATTGTAAATTAACAAAAATTGTCAAATAATTTAAATATTAATTCAAAAAACATGTCATTAATTAATTACAGTAAAAGGCATTTAAATACAAACGAAACAATGAGTTTAAAATTAATTTAGTTTTTTAGTCCCATTTTTTGAGTAAAATCGTGAGAAAATATGTTTAAAAGTTGCGATGAATTCAATGATAACAGTAAACTAATTAATCCTTTAGTCGTTTATTAGGCGACTCGTCGCTAATCAAATCATCTGATTTCCTCTTTTTGCTCACTTCTATAATATCGCAGTCATTGTCATCTAAAATCTCTAAATCACTGTCAGAGTCACTGAGGGTTACCTCTTCGACATCTTTGGCCTCTTTATTCGGATCCAATCCTTCCGGTTGTGACCCATTCTCGCTGTCCATGAGATCGACAATTTCTGGATTAACATTTTCATCGCCTCTAAGGTCGACATCGCTTTGTTTCGGCTGATCATCGCTTGGCTTCGACTGCTCATTGATTTCCTCGACTATGATATCCTCTGAATTGCTGCCATTGGTCTCATCGTTGGTCTCATTCATTGGTTGTTCGCCTTCGCGAGTGATCACCAACTTATAGAAGAGGCCGTCGTTTTCATTCTTATCGATGTCAACGTCTCTTAATGTGATAATAACTGTCAGACTCTGTATTAGATCATAGACTTTAAGCCGAATCTTATCGCAAACGTGATTGTAATCGGAGAGAAATTTCTTTTGAATTCTTTGTTTGGTTTCGTCGGAGTCTTCGTCGTAATCCTCTTTACTGAAGAGAACGACAGACTGTCCATCGATTTGGACGTCCGGACAAACGAAATGCAGTTTCGATAAAAACTAAACAAGCTGCTTTAGGTTCATTTTGTCGCAAAAGAACTTTGAGTTTCTCTAGAGTTAAAGCCCGTGTAATCGCCTTGTCTGGTATGTCAATCCCAACCCGAAGAGCTCGAGCATCCGTGACTATAGGTTCTTAGCGGACGGACCGACTTTGCGGAGATACACGTGACGACACGACTCGTACAGCGCTTTATTCGCCTCTTCTGTAGTCAACTCTGGGTTTCGCTTTTTGTGGACATTGTTTCGCAAAATGTTAAGCGTTTGCAAAACAATTATACCGCCGACTATTGAATTGGTCGATGAAATGGCGGGTATTATATTCCCGGCCATCGATTTGACATCAAATTTAGACTTTCGGCTGATATGAAAGCAAAACGAGCGCAGATTGGATACAGCGGTCACGAAATCAAGAGCCGATTCGTCGTCTTTATCCCAAACCAAAAACGTATCATTTCCTCCAAAATCAGTCAATCTTTTCATCAATTCTTTGATACTTTCATCAAAAATAGTTAAGCATTCGTTGATTGACCATAACTTCTGAGCTTTGAGATCGGGGTTCGGTTCTCCCGAACCATTCAAACCATTGGAACTACTCGTACCCTCGATGGCGTCAAACTCAATATCATTGGCCACCACTCGATCGTAATCTATTGTCTTTG